AGGTGCAGTACTGTCTCAAGTACAAGACGGAGAAGAGCGTGTTATTGCCTATGCAAGTAGATGCCTATCAAAACCTGAGGGTAACAATTGCACCATGCAGAAGGAACTACTTGCAGTGGTGTACTTTGTGAAAGTATTCCGCAAATACCTATATGGGGTGGAGTTTACAGTTAGAACAGATCATGGAGCACTAAGATGGCTCATGAACTTCAAGGAACCCTCCGGACAAGTGGCGAGATGGATTGAAACTTTGAGCAGCTATAATATGTAGCTTGAACACAGGCCGGGACGAGTGCACAATAATGCAGATAGTATGTCAAGAAAACCATGTGCCTGGTGTTCCAAGAACGACACTGAAAATGCCACAGAGGGTAACCCGTGCTGTCCCCTAGAAGACACAGAGACGCCGCCACATGATACTGTGTTGAACACCAACAAAGTGGAGGGTGACTCCTGTGCACCAGTATCATCAGAAGTAAACTTGGGAACATCAATTTTGAGGACAATCACCTTAGATCCAAAGTGGAGCAAAGAAGAAGTTTCCACTTTGCAGAAACAAGACATGGACATCTCTCCACTTCTTCCACACCTAGAGAATGGCAAGCGACCCTGGTGGGAAGAATTGACAAGTTGCGGAAGTGGCACAAAAACAATGTGGGCACTTTGGGACCAATTGAGACTGGAAGATGGCCTACTGTATCGCATCTGGTTTGACAAGCTAGGTCATGAGAAACGTCTGCAACTTGTGGTGCCAAAGCCCATGCAACAGGAAGTGTTGAAAGAAGCACATGGGGGAAGTATGTCAGGACACCTTGGAGTACAACGGATGAAGTCAAGGCTACACCTAAGATTTTACTGGGTCGGAATGAATGGTGACATAAAAGTGCACTGTGCACAATGCAATTCATGTCAAGCCAGGAAGAACCCTGCTAAGAAAAGACGAGCACCAATGCAGATCCATAGAGTAGGTGCACCCATGGAACGGGTAGCAGTTGACATTACAGGGCCATTCACTGAGACAGAGAGAGGAAACTTCCACTTAGTGGCACAAATGGCACCAGGAAGCCAAAGAAAACGAAGAGTCGAAGTGAGAAGGCTCCACAAACCAGGTACGAACTCAGGAAGAGAAAAGAGCAACCAGGAGTCTATGCGCAATTGAGGCAAGCCTGGCACTCATTTTGGAAAGACATATACAGCAATTAGGACTGACATCAGATGGGATCATCTTCATGACTGAGATGGTAGGATAATGGTGTTATTGTACTGAATATGGTTTGAACAGTCTACAGTATCGATTAGTGGGATGGAGGCTGTAGTGCACTGTTTCTAGAGTACCTCCCGGAAAAGGCTGGCGTGTAATGATGAACCAGGGCATGGCCGGTACCACCACAGAGGGGAAAACAGGAGCAGTGACGACTGGGATGTCCGGCATGTCGCCATGCGCGTTGGCGAAACCTCACTAAGAATCCCGTGTTAGCTTCTAGTAGTGTAGCAGAACGAAGCACCACCTAGTTGATCCGCACAATGGCACCTATAGCTTCGGCATAATTACAGTTCTTAGGAACTAGGTCTCTTTGGAGGAGTACACAATGTACCGAAAGTTGTGCAGAGATACCGGATGTAACATGTGGAGCGAACTGTCTAAGTCCGAGGGAAGGTGCCCTCAGAAGGGAAGGCTGTACTGAAGATAAGGGGAGGGTGGAGTGATCCCAAGCACTATAACATGGACACTATTCCTGGACTCTTAGTGTTGAAGCAGTCAAATTATTTGAGTATGTCTAGTCAGTATGTACATTTAGTGAATTAATCTGCACTATGAATTATTGGCATGAACAATAGAAGTATGAAGGAGATGCACTACAAGTAGAGTAGCAGTGCAAGGCAGAAGCCGGGGTTGGGGAGATGGGTCGCCCAACACGCCTGCACAGCGGGGCGGAGCTGTCCAACGGAGTGATCCAGCGGTTTGCAGGGACGTAACACTTGTGTGCATTTACGTCGCACCAGTATATATAATGTATATAGACTTAGAATACATGTTTTTCTTGTTGTACACTTAGTTAAGACAGTTAATAAGATAGTGAAAATAGAAATCTATGTGACTGTGGTCTACATTGAACATGAACTTTCGAGTAAATGGCGGCGAGTACTTTGCACATTAAAATGGATATGCCACATTAGGAATCTGTGAAGATGGTAGTGTTGAACTTATTAAATAATGATGAGCGCCAGTGAAGAGCTTAGGTCGAGGAAGTCTCTGTGAATGTTACACCACTGTGTGTCACGTCTTCAGATATGATACACAAACATGAAGTGATGAGCTACGCTAGAGGATAGGGTCTCGACCAACTTTAGCACACGTTGTAGTCGAAACTTTAGGTGGAAGCAGTTACAGTGCAGACAAGCGGGGCAAGTGGACTAGTGACACAGTGATGTGCTACAAAAATGCTACAAAGAAGATGTGCGAGAGGCACATAGGAACTTAACTTGGAATAGTTGCAAGAATGTACATGAACACTATTATCTGAAACAATGTGTAGTGATGTGCAGCAATTTTCTTAGTATGGTGACGGGTCGAATCGGAGGATCAGGACATTAGCATGTGTAAGGGGATGAGCTGCGTTACGGGAATGCCTAGGCCCCCAATAACCTCGAAGTACAGTCGAACCCTTTGTGATGATTTAATGATACTCCACCTGCAGCTGATTGGCGTGAGAGGAAAGATTTCCAAAGTATATCCACCCATGTGCTAGGAAATCCGCTGAAGATGTAGGATATTCCCCAAGAGTCCACCACAGGAAGTGAACCCTGTACCAGCAGTACTCGACAGATGGCGTTATTTACTCTTAACAAGTATAAAAGCAAGAACAGTGATCAATGTGTCCAGAAACATTTCCGACATCAAGGTTGGAACAATGGCTTATAGTATTGATCTGGAGAATATCTATGAAGAGATAAACCCAGTGACACCTGGTACACGAGAAGTGTATCGGAACCATAGCACCTTGGACCAGTCAATGACTACACTTCCAGATGAAAGTGTTAGTGCACCATACACTGACAGCAGCACCGATGAACCTAGGCGTAAGGTAATCATCGAGTCTAGAGAACAGCAGGAACCATTGCGCAAAGTACCACTTAACGACAATGAGAAAGTTGAACAAGCAAGTTGTGCAAGAGACCATTGTGCACGAACATTTAACATTAAGTGGGTAATAGCAGTGCCACCGACTTATTGCTATCAAAGGCGCACATTACTTATTGACTTTGTTGATACAGCAGATAATCAGTTCAAAAGGCTGTGTTTAACTGACTGAATTAATTCACGTGCCTCAAAATATTCAAGTTTTGATCATGTGATTAGATGTTACAGGCCACATGACTGCAGTGCAAGAAATATGCAAATTAGTTAAAATGTTATATGAGGATAGTTAAGAATGGGAATAGTCAGTTTAACCATGGCTACCCCACAGAAAAGATTCAAACAAGCAGTAGAAAATGTCACTACAGAGACACAAGGAATGGTCAAGAGTCACGCACTCCGGGCAGTTGACGAAATCTTACATACCGAAAGGCCAGCGGAAGCAATGGACGAGGTCGGTGTGGAAGTAGTTGACTCAGCTGCACAAGCGTTAATTGAACTGAGCAAGACAAAAACAAAGTCTGATGCATATGGGTCCGCAACAATGTTGCAAGGGAGACTATTTACTGTAAAGTGGGTGCTCGTAGCTCCAATGAGTTATGAGTTAACAAAAGGAACACTAGTAGCTGAGTTCGTAGATACCGACACCGGATTATCCCATAAGTGTTGCTTTTCGAAATAATCTAATCTTTGGGTCACATGATCAAAGTGCAGTGATTATGTTAATTAGATAAGAACTAGTATAAGAAGAAGAATTTTGGTTAACATTGTCATATCCAAAAACTTGATTGAAATGGAAAGGGCAACCCAAGTATCCATGACTGATGACTGTAAGACCCAAGCTCAGTTGGCAACTATGTCATCTCTGGAGTACAAGATTGACCCTGTAGCATTTGCGGAAAGGTATGAATGGCTATGGAGGGCGATCCGATTCATATCCAAGAGTACTGCACGTGCTATTCAGGAACACCTACCTGAGCATCACCACCTGATACAACTCTCTCGTGATGAGGAGGACGAGATGCACAAGCAGTTAAGACGAGTCTTTGAAAATAGATGCTTTCGACAGGAACGACCAACTATTCCACCATCGTTATGAACTGTCAGTCACGTGACCTCAGTGCAGGGTCACATGGGCATTTTTGTTGCACCATAAAACATAGTGATAATGTATATAAAACAGGTCAAATTGACAAGAAATCAGTTGTGGTTCTGTAAGTCCATGAATGACCACGTTTGCTTCATCATGGCTAATAACTTCGAGATACAGCAAGAAGGGGACCGTGTGTTGGACCTTGGTAAATCTACTATGCCAAAACGGGTGGCCATACCTATGGTACCCAAGGCAGATGATCCACATGAGGAACCACAGGATCGGTATGATCAACTTTGGCATTCGGTGCAGAAAATCACTGACAGCACAATACGTTATCTTAAAGTCTTACTCCCAGAGCACCAGGAAATGTTGAATATGACCCACGATGAGGATAATCAGTGCCTTTTAAGATTAAAAATGAAATTTGAGGACTTGCGTAAATAGCCTTCTTTTAAATTGTAACTTTGGAAAATCAAGTGTATACAGATAATTTGGGTCAACTGTCCCATTACAAACAATATTAACTATGACAACTAATTTGTAGCAATAATTCAGAGAATCAGGCTAGAATACTTAGAAATACAACACACTTTATAACCAAGGGAACCATCATGACATGGTCCAAAGTAACTTATGGTGGCACCAATCAAATTCTCTCATCTAACCAATGTGCAGGTCACATGACCAAATGTGCTTGCACCAGATTTTGAAGCTCAAATATTATAAAAGAAAGACATTTGCAACTTGAATTCACATTGTTGTCGGATGGCTAGAACGAAAACAACGAAGCGAAAATACCCTGAAGTAAACGTTGCAGAAATGGAAAATATAGATCCTGTGAGGTATCCTTGTCTCTATTGTGACAAAAGCTTTACGAGACGCACTTCCCTAAAAAGACACCTAATAGACCGTCAAGCGCATTGGATAACTGCTGGTGATTTCGCGGAGGCAATGGAATGCATCCAGGGTGGGGTCTGTGGATCTCAAATAATGGCCTGGAGACTAAGTAACCCGATTATATCTCTTCCTTTGGCGACACTTAACCGCAAGAAGGAGTGCGCGATAAGCCTCCTAGATATGGAGGAGGAATGCGCACCGCATGTAGAAGAGGATGATGGTGCATCTATGTCAAATGCGCCTGCAACTTCTCAACAATCTGAGTTGACAACTACAACATCCGCACCGATGGCGCCTGATACTTCTTCATTGGATAGCGTTCCGGATTGTAATGACCAGTTTGTACGCACAGCTTCCCATACGCCAGTGCCTGCACCAATTATAACTACTAGGCAACCCATACATGCGCCCAATTACAACAGCAGGCCTAGCGTCATCCCAGAGCCTTCCAACCTAGAGCAAGTGACGGACACTATCATTGCAAAACAAACTCAGCCTAACAAAGCTATATTGATTGATATTAGCGCAAAGAGGCCTGCTCCTGCTGCCTCTCCAGCTGAGGGTGCACCAGCTAAGATCCGGCGCAGCCTCAGCACGGAAGCGCGCCCATCGACAGTAAGCCAGGAACCCTCTTTAGCACATCGCCGTCCAGGAAGTCTCGGTGACCCTGTTCCCCCAAAAGAATTTGAAGGCCAGCGTGTGTACCAATTTGGCGAACGAGTATCCATAGCGCCAAATCACTGGGAGTTGAAGCGCATGGAGGTGAAACTGGTATACTACGACCCAACCACTAGGAGGGAGCATGTAGATTCCCTAGTATCGACAATGCGATAACAATTTCTCATAAAAACTTTATTGAACATTTTAATATCAACATGACACCAAGGATTATTTCAACATTATTCAATCGAACATTTAAACAACTGGTCGTACGAGTCCAGCATAAACACTTATTTTGACATTTTTGGGATGTGCCATATCCCAACTCTTATATTAGCTAAACAGTACCTTTAATGACATTTTCCAACGGGACGTTTGGAATTTAAGTGGAGGGTGGTGTAAGAAAATGCGTATATTTTCTTCTATATATTTCTTACTTCCTGTTTATATTGAACACTTCCTGGTTACCCAGTCACATTTCTGAGAAATTGCATCATTTTCTAATTATTCATCATGTAAATGTATAGTATAGTTTAAGTATATAAGCGTAAATGTAACTCATTAAAGTAGAAAGGTTAGCTATTCCAGCGCCTTTGATTGGTCACAGAAAGTCGGTGCAGCACATATGCTAATTAGGTAACGCTTTAAAAGCGCGAGCATAATGCACCAACTTCACTTTGGTCACTTCGGTCAGTAGCGTGAAGCTACACACTTACTTTGTATTGTGGCGGGAGGTCACATTAAGTCATTTTGGTCAGTGGCATGAGGCCACACAGTACATACCTTGATTTTGTTTCATGGCAAGAGTCATGTACTAATATGTTACAGTGTTAATGAGATGCTACGGTGTCCCCGAAATTAAATATTTGGAGTTATTGAATAAATTATATAGAACTTTATACCAGTGTTTGGACTCAATCAATATATGCACCAAAGGGTAAGAGAGTAGTGCAATACTATAAATGTGCCCAATAGTCAACATTAACTAACTTGAAGCTGCGAGACTAATTGACGAGCCATTGCACCGCAAAACTCTACACCACAAACTATTGCACCGCAAACCTCTGCACCGCAAATTGTCTGCACCAAAACTATCTGCACCGCAAAAGTTCTGTAACACCATCCTTAATTAAATAATCAGTCCATAGGACACCAAAGCGAGATATTCTATGTTGCTGTACCCGAGTTCCGTCACCATCCTCGCACACGTCCCCACCATAAATATAAATTCGTATAACTATTCCCCCCTCCCTTAAATATGCCTGACGCTACCAACCGCCACTGATAAGGGATAATAACAACAACTATCGCGGGAAAACGTTACACATGTATAATGCTGCGCATTCTGGAGCATGTTATTTCATGATGTTGAATATCACTGGTGATCCACTCGATTACGCTGGTTACCAAAACGGTTCGTTTTGGTAACAAAATGTCGGAACATCCGGAAGATACGATTTTTCTCGTTTCCTTATTTTACACGTTGTAGGCAGAATTCCCACGACATTTTTTAACACAAACGTGTATCAGTATCCTATGTTTAAAAAAGTGTACATACTTGCGAACAAATAGTTCAGAAGACAACAGAATCGTCGATTTACTTCGTCACTTAAGTTACATAAACGGTTTGGGTTAAAAGTGCAGATCTTAACTGTTTTTCGAAAAACCGTTTATGTAACTTAAGTGAGGAAGTAAATCGACGATTCTGTTGCCATCTGAGCTATTTTTTCGCAAACATGTATATTTTCTAAAACATATGATACTGATGTACGTTGTGAGAAAAAACGTCGTGGGGATTCTGCCTACAACGCGTGAAATAAGGAAAAAAGAAAAATCGTGCCTTCGACGTTCCGACATTTTGTTACCAAAACGGTTCGTTTTGGTAACCAGCGTAATCGAGTGGATCACCAGTGAATATGTCACAATTCTCTTGCCAGTGGTCAAGATACTGAGATATATATAGATTTTTCATTGTCTCAAGTTCTGTATTTATTTATTCATCTATTAATAATATCAGTGATAAACAAGATACTTTAATTACTTGGTACACATGCCATATTCATGTTAGCTACCAACCTTTATAAGATTGTATTTTTCTCCTTGTGACCATTTTTGAATTATTTTTTACAACAAGCTTAATCCAAGGGACTTCATCATTTCTGTATCTCTGGAGATGATGGAGCAGAAAATGTGCACCCCATGATGACATGAATGAGAGTAGATTTCATGTGAAGTTACCATATTAAGACACACTCTTTTGTTGTTCAGGATTTGATAGTTGTTTTAGATCCAAATTTTATTGCTGTGGCGCTTCTTTTATATTTGTAGAGTAGAAGACTGTAGGTGCATCCTATAGAGCCATGGCCAGGCCGATTGACAAGGAGTGATAGAAAAGTGATTCAATCATGTTGTGTCTTAAAAATAAGAAGCCATTTTCCAGCCCCTAATGGACGATATGTTGGTTTTTTATCAAATGAAGCTGGACCACCAGTCTATCCTATGGTCTATCCTTAGTCTATCCTAAGAAGCCATTTTCCAGCACCTAATGGAAGATATGTTGGTTTTTATCAAATGAAGCTGGACCACCAGTCTATCCTATGGACCCATGGCTGGTTGACAAGGAGTGATAGAAAAGTGATTCAATCATGTTGTGTCTTAAAAATAAGAAGCCATTTTCCAGCACCTAATGGAAGATATGTTGGTTTTTTATCAAATGAAGCTGGACCACCAGTCTATCCTATTGATCCATGGCTGGTTGACAAGGAGTGATACAAGTGATTCAATCATGTTGTGTCTTAAAAATAAGAAGCCATTTCCCAGCACCTAATGGAAGAGATGTTGGTTTTTAATCAAATGAAGCTGGACCACCAGTCTATCATATGGATCCATGGCTGGTTGACAAGGAGTGATAGAAGTGATTCTATCATGATGTGGCTTAAAAATAAGAAGCCATTTTCCAGCACCTAATGAACGATATGTTGGTTTTTTATCAAATGAAGCTGGACCACCAGTCTATCCTATGGATCCATGGCTGGTTAACAAGGAGTGATAGAAAAGTGATTAGATCATGTTCACCCCGGGTGATCAATATCCTGTGTTCAGAATTTCGTTCCAGCAAGTCAGTGACCCGAGTTGTGTTTTACTGAATCCCGACAAATATGGCGGCTAATTTGACAACAGACGATGTTGATGTCGACAATTATTCAAAACTTTCTAACAGCATAAGGTAAGACTGAATATAGAGTGGCACATTCGGTGCCTAAATATGTTTGCAACATTTTCTTAGTTGTTTATCCATATGCGTTGGGTATTACTGCTAATCGAAGCATAAGTAAACGTGACCTCATTCTCAACGCTCGCTGGAAAGTATGTCACCGAGTATTTTTGACCTTCTGTTAGTTAATGAGATAAACTGTTATCATGGTATAATTGCTGGGTAGACGTTCAAAGTATGTACCAACTCGTGCTTCCAGTGAATGTAAACCATTTCTTTGCATAAGCGTCCTAGAAGGCATAATAAGATATATTCCATAGTACCGAATAGGAATCGCCAGTGTATCGACGCACTTCATGGATAAATGCTTATAGACTATTGAATCATAATGAACAAAAGCAGTGTATACTCACGTGTGATATCTTAATCTATCAAAAATAAGAATTGAATGCATTTGATAATATTGAAAATTAGATCTAGACTGCCGAAAGATCTGCCAGATTACGCATGTGGTGTCAAGGTCAGTGTCACTACAGTAAACAATGAGTATTCTACTAGTATGAGTCTCAGTGTTGTCAGTTGTCACCACCCAAAATATTGTTTTGTTCTGAACCTAAGGGAGCATATCAAAAGATCAATGTCGGAATATTAACTGTATTTGCATAGTTAGGGAGGGAGGGGGTTAATAACCTCAAAAGTTATCTTACAAACATTGAATATTTTTTATTATAATATATAGTATGACCAACAAAATCAACATTTCTCAAATACAGTTATGAGGGGGAGGGAGGGGGGTCACAGATTAACTGTGCAAATACAGTTAATAATCCTACATTGAACTTTTGATATGCTAATTGTCTTTGTATGTGTAAGTGTGTCACGTTTCACTATAAATAACTGGATGTAGGGCCAATTTTTAAATAATATAAGCATATAAACCTTTTATTTTTCAGTGTTACTGCAGAAAATGATAGTGATACTGGCACTGACAACCCAGATATCATAGATGAACTTGATCTGTCGATGGGGGCACTGAATATATCGGGAGTTGGCCACTTGTCCGATTCCTCAGATAATGATGCTCCAGATGATAATGATGTTCCTTCAATACCTACCGCTCCTGACGAACATTCGACTCCTGATCCTACACCAAGTACTAGAAGGGATAAATTTCACAAATGTAAAAAATTTGAGAAAGTATTTGCCTATAAATATAATCTCAGAAGACACGATAAAGTACACACTGGAAATTTAATGAAGTGTGATTTGTGTGAAAAAACTTTTCAAGACACTTATGAGTTGAAACGACACAAAACTTCGAAACACCAAGGCGTTCGTTTCAAGTGTTATGAATGTGAAAAGGAATATATGTCTAAAAACGCCCTAGCAAGACACATTGACATACACAGAGATGGATATAGGTAAGTTCTTTTATGTTCACATACTGATCCAACCCAAGGTTAGGTTTTATACTTATCCCACCCAAAAGGAGGTGAAACACCAGATTATAAATGTCACATAAAGGCGATGGTCACACCAGGCTTTCACGATAGCATTGCTAAGGTAATGGCAGGATCCATGCATAATTTATTAAATCAGGCCCGCAGATAGGAGGGGGGGGCCCTGGTCAGAAATTCTCTCAAAAACTTGCAGTTTTTCACCATTCTGAGCACTTTTCACATGATTTTTTGCCAAAACAACAGATGCCAGCCAGATCATACTTATAGTAGAAGGCTAGTCTCAAATAAACCTCAAATTGAGGTATTATCATTGAGATACTGATATACTATACATATGATCGTGCTATCAAAACTGTCAAACCCCCCCCCCCCCTTGGCAAAAACTCCACCCTTGGTAAAACCGCTCCCCAATGGTGAATCCTGGATACGGGCCTGTAAATGGTCATCGTGGTTGTACCAGACAGCAATGCAATGTTTTGATTTGCACACATTTTTTATTTTTAAAAATCTAATTGAGAGCATCCTAATCATGTGAAAAGTTCAATTTTTTTTGAATAGTTATATTCCTTCTATAAAGTGTGTACACTTTTTGGGACACCCTGTATTCGCAGTTCAATGCCAATGTGGAAATCAATATACAGGGAAATTCGATCTTGAATTTGTAAAATAATAACAAGAAAGGTAGCACCAAATTAGCTTGATGTATTCATGAATGGATTCTCAAAAGTATACAAAATATATATAATCTTATTCTGTAGCTTCGGGACAATGACGATTCCTATTCGGTAGAATGGAATATATCTTTCAACGACTTCTATGACACTTATGAAAGGAAATAGCTTGGATTCAAACATAACACAAGGTGAGACATACTAATAAGGTATACTTTACAGTTATACAATGCTCAGAGTATCCATCATTACTTACAGAAGGCAAAGAACGACTCGCTGATATCGTTTTCTGCGAGCTTTTCGAATTGGGTCATGTTGGTTTCATGCTTGATTTGTTTGACACATTTTCGTCACCTGGCTCGTCCAGTGGCGAACGAGACGCCATATTTATCGGGATTCAGTAAAAACACAACTTGGGTCACTGACTTGCTGGAACGAAATTCTGAATACAGGATATTGATTACCCGGGGTGATGTTGTCTTAAAAGTAAGAAGCCATTTCCCAGCACCTAATGGACCATATGTTGTTTTTTTATCAAATGAAGCTGGACCGCCAGTTCATCCTATGCAGCATGGCCAGTTGACAAGGAGTGGGAGAAAAGTGATTTCATCATGTTGTGTCTTAAAAAGAAGAAGCTGTTTTCTAGCATCCAACTGACAATATGTTGGTTTTTTACCAAGTGTGGCTGAACTTTAATAACTAATTAATTCTTGTATTAGTTAAACATTTAATCATACTTATAGTGCTTTTTAGCTTACATGGCACGAGTTCTTCTAATCTTCCACTTTCTTTTACTAAACCTGATGCTCCCAGATAACTTTATTGTTGCTGTTTAAAAATCTATCATTTTCTAAATAAATGGCTAGACAAAGGCACCCTTTTTCACTCACCATACGCCTACCTATGATGGGACAAGACTGAATAATTTAATTCTTTCTAATGTGCAATTTTGATGACCATTCTCCTACAAGATGACGTTTATGAAATGAGAAAGTTTCTATGGATAGAAAGAAATTTAAAGATTGATAAAGAATATACCTTCATCCTTAATGGAAACATCATTACAGATGGTAAGATAGAGATTTGAAAATGTAAAATAAAATAAAAACTATGCCATCATAGTATTCATGTATATGAGACAACCCGTCACATGGACTTGTAATTTGGGGATGTTCATGTTCACTGTTCCGGTTGTCAAATTAGTTTTATATACTTTTATACCAGTGTTTTAGGTTCATTGTTTAATTAGTTAAATACTCATGTTTATATCACTTCAGGTGTTCGGAAATAACTTCCGGTCCGTAATTTGCAGTAGTTAGGTTTTTATTACTTGTTAAAACCAAGTAATATATTTGTTTCCGGACGCTTTATGTTAGCCTTTAAACATATTCCAATTTTTTGGACTGTGTTCTGTATAAATTATTTCCGCGATTTTGATTGGCTAAGGATACCTCCTGTATTCTTGGCAGATTCTACATCAGATTTTACGGAAAGACGTGCTTTACTTGCTGCGGATATTCTATGCTTTATAAGCTTGCTTTATATCACTCTATAGCGGTCAATTTTGGTACAGTTCGTACATAAACGACTCTAAACTTGAAGGCTTCTCGCCGATATTTTCTTAGACTTGCGTACTTCTCGTATTTGTTGTCAACGTTTCACTTCGATTATCACTTTACATACGCTTGTCATCTCAGTTCAATGTATTCAGTTGCTTATTTAGTCTGTCTGTATTCATTTTAACTACGTCACGTTTGCTCGTATTACAGTCATACTCTTGAGTTTTGTTGCACATTAATTTCTCGGGAGCACATGTATCGTGACCTACTTTCAAACATTTAATTGAATTCCAGCATGGTTTAGACAGATCGTCGTTTCTACCTTTCTTAGTAACTTTCAACTTCTTTTAAGACCTCAGTCCGCTAGTTTAGTACATTATTTACGAGTTATACTTACTATTGAGTTCGATTTGACCTCTTATTATTGAACATTTGGTGATCAAACCTTGCTTTGTTTGTATCATCGTCACATGTATTTACTGTTTACATTTGTTTATTGTACTTCGTGCATGCTACTTTCCTCATATTAACGTGGATTAACTGTCCATAACGTTGGCTATCGGGAGCGATTTAAGCCCCTTTCGGCGATCCTTTTACAGGGAGTTTTTACAGTGACCTAGTTTAATACTCTGTATGTTTCCTGGTGTCCTACTGACCTAGTGACACAGGTAGTTTTACAGTGACCTAGTTCACTACTTTACATATTTTCCTGGCGATCTACTGACCTAGTGACCAAGTTACGAATTATAACTTTTCTTTCTTTTGACCCACTTACCAAATTTAACCGAATTTCTTTATACTGTTGTATTTGACCTACTTAAAAACACGTGGTCCGTGACCCACTGACCCAGTTTCATAATTTAGGGCAGACATTTTCCAGCTTTCATCTGGGAAGCACATGTTGTACCTTACATTTACATGCATTGACATTTAGCCGCAATAGGCATAATAAATAGATACTGTACATATTATACATATAAGTTCCTGTTGTATTGTGTTGCCAGTTGAGATTAATAGGGCTGTGTTTCCATAAACCCTAGGGTTACTTCATATACAATGGATTCTGTGCCCTGATTCTCATTGAGAGTAGATTTTGAAACTTATAAATAACTTTGTATGATTTCAAGGTTAAAATTCATTTACCTTGATAAGTCAACTTAACAATGTAAATTTTTATATTGAAATGACAAAAATATGACAATTCAGCAAAATACCACACAGGTTAAGACTTCACTTACCTTCAATGGAGCATATGAGTAATGAGACTTGATTCGGCAATTTCTTTATATCTGGTATAATAATCTGGAAAACACAGAGAAGCAACGTGAGCCATAAAGCAAGAACTTAACAAAGCGCAGGGAGAGTGGATTGCTAGTTACAATTTTACATAATGTGTAATCCTCTAGGTCAAGAATTTGTCTTAAACATCATTCCACTAGCATCACTTACCTTCTCCTGCATCAATGCAGATGGAAGTATACAAATGATGATTCTAAGTATACAAAAAATGATGACTCAACCTATGCAAATGATGATTCTACATATGCAAATGATGGGGCAATTGATAAGGAGTTGACCTATATTTGATATGAATCCAAAGTGATAACATCACAACTCTAAATTTCTATTTAGTTTATTGTTAAATAAGAAACTTATACACCAAGGTATGCATATATGATGTGTATAAACAATTATCCATAACCTAGCTGGAACGCATAACTTAGGTGACATGGAAAGGAAAACTGAATTTATAACATTTAAAGGGACACTTATTTTAATTTATAAGCACTTCGGGATAAATTCTGGGTTTGTTTTGAGACAATGTTTTTGTTTGTTTCTTTAATTTTTGCCTTGTTTGGTTTTGACAATATTAAATGAAAATCTTATAATTAAAACTTAATTTCTATCCACTATCAATTTGGAGAATGAGTGGTCATTTATGTTGTCAGATTATTTGCCGATTAAAGAATCATCTCTCATATGCTGCGTTGTGTGCTTTATTTTCCATGTCTTGAATCCTCAACTGGTGGAAGAGAGGGGGAAGAGCAGTGCCAACAAAGTACTGGCAGATAGGTAAAATTTATATGAACAATTGATGTCACACACCACAAGAAGTTCCACAAAGTACTGGACTGACTGGACGGGTGGATCGGGAGGTTGATATAAACAATATCCTCTCGAAATATAGATGTCACTTGATGATTGTTAACTGAGTGTATATATATCATTTTTCAGCTCCAGATAGGCAAACACTGCCTGTCAATACTTCAACTTTAGATAATGAGATTATATGTCTATATGCTGGTTGGCAGTGTATTGCCTGGTAAATGTAAAGTAATCGATGTATACTTTATGTAATCGATGTATGACTATCAATAATACTGTATGGATTGTATGAAAACCAAATGGAACAAATGGAACAAATGTAAGGCAGTTTTGTTATTTTCAGACTTTGTTTCTTCTTGTTTTTCAATAATCGTATTGGCTGCATCGCCATCCATGTCAGTTGTATCTTCTTCGTGATCAGATAGATCAATTTCAGTTTACTCTGTTTCGATTTCTGGGTGGTGATCTTCATCCATTGTGATATATATTGCAGTGTCTGTGTGTAAGGCAGTTTTGTTCAGTAAAGGTCTTAAATAATGCAGACTATGTCATCCATTAAATTAGATAAAAAGGGGGGGGAGAGATTTCTTAGTTCAGTAAGTGATAATTCTGCATTTGTTCTATATGATTTTAAAATTGATTATTTAGTTTTAAGAATGGTTAAAATTGTATTATCACTTAACTTGAAAATCCTAAGGACAGGAAGCTGTCCATTGGATAATAGTACTAAAACAAATATTTTGACATATAGTTTTTCAAACCTGGTCAACATAGAAAAAATTGAATTGACTAGGTCAGATTACCATGTTATACAGTATCTTTGAGATTTTCTTGTAAAAAAAATATTATATTATGTATATGAAATGTGTAACCAATATATAAAATATGTAACCAATGTATATCAATGACCATTATTTCTCTTAATGTTACAACTCAAATTAAATCATATTCAGATGTTGTGGAGATTCTGTCAAGGTCCATAAAGGCTATTACAAGGATAAATCAAAAGTGTTAAGCATTTTCTCTCCAAATTTCTAATATCAACTGACCTTTTTTTCAACTTTTGATTTGTGAAATGACTAAAGCTAGTGAAATATAACCCTCATATTTTTGTTTAGGAAACCCCGGTACAGTATGGTTTTGAGAAGAGGGTGTTAACAGAATTGTAAGCTGAATGGAATGATATGTATTTTGAAGGAGAAATATATGACTTATAACTAAATGATTTGTCTCTGTTGTTTGCTAGAGGAAGCTAAGTAGAGATTGAACAATTCAGACACACTTGACTGACATTTTATATAATAACACTTTGGATCTTCAAATTAGAAATGAATCAATGAAATAACTATAATCAATACACATACCAAATTGATAACACGCATTATCAGGGTACAAAATGGAAGATCTAAAGTAATATTATAAATGTGTTTTAAGGTAATATTGTAAATGAGTTTTAAGGTTAGTATAGTAAAAATAAGTTGTTGTTCAGGTATCTATTTCCCTATCCTCAATTATGTATATGGAGTTCCTTTTATGGAAACTTGCATACATTGATATGTGAAGATCTTGAATAGATGTTCAGTTTGAGCCTTGGCAAGAGAACTGGGAAGATGTGAACAAATATCTAATAAAAACATAGTCTCATATAATGTGAATAAATATCTATAAAAGTATAGTCTCATATATGGTGGAGCTGCAGAAGATCAATGTGTACCTCATCAATGAATGGAATCTAGTTATAATCTCCGTTCTAATCATCAGAGACACACAATCATGGCAAAAGCCCATATTAAATTAGATAAATTTGATGGTGTATCTGATGGCGTTCGCTGGTTCGAAGACTTAACCTCATTCATTTTGCTAAATAAAATAGAAGATGGTCAAAGGAGAGACATTTTAAAACTATATCTTAAAGACGGAGCCAGAACATGGCTGGAGGCTATGCCAATAGACATTACCTGGGCAGACTTGAAGAAGGCCTTCGAAGCCCGTTTTCAAATCAAGCAGTATAACACTGCTGAATTGAGCACACTACTATCATCTGGTACGTTGAAAATGCTACCAGACGAGACCGTTAGATCATTTGTCACCCGTGTGAGCGAAATTCTTAGAGGAGCAAAAGATCAACTGACACCACAGCAGATCGTTAACATAATAGCAAATGGACTCCCACAGTCTATTAGAAATCATGTCGTGGCGCAAGATCCAAAAAGCGTCAATGACATTATAACCAAAGCAAGTTTATTCAGCACTACAGAAGGGGACGATGCCTCAAAGACCTTGATTGCGCGGCTAGAGGGTATCATCGATGCGAAAACAGAACAGATAGCAGCAATGGTACTGAGTAAGACTGCAGCAGACATTTCGACAGTGATGCCATATAACGGATCCCATGGAGCGAACAGAGTGGACGCAAACCCCCAGAAAACATGCAGATGGTGTTTGGGTAAGTGCTTTGATAGGTCAATGTGCCCTGCACTAAATCAGTCATGTTCATTTTGTGGAATTAGAGGTCTATTGCCTTTTGTTGCGGAAATAACAAAGGGGTTGTTTGGGATTGCAACGGATTCTGATTTAAAACGCTTAGCGCAACATGTGAACATTTTGACTTCACGTCAGCAGAAAATGGCAACTCAGTTTAGTCTCATACGCATAACTGAGGCGACAATGAAAGGAAAACTGAATTTATAAGCATTTCAGGATAGTGTCCAAAAAGGGAGCAATGTCAGGAAAGGGGATCTGATGCCCACATTTAATTTTACAAAATTAATTTTGGAATTTATTACATAATAAATTTAAAAATGTGTATCTCCCTTACATATATAATCAACAAGGCAAAATGCAATTCTGCTAATAAGGAGAGACCATAAATCATATGGCTCTCTGCCAATGAAAAAATTCTCTAGCCTGATCCTGAAAATTTTATTATCATTATAATCAGAATTCTAATATGATACGTGACGTCACAATAGCTAGAACAATTGATTTTCTGGTCTATATTGGAGTATGTATGACCACTAAAATTAATAAATGCAAATTTTTGTTTTTCTTGTCTGTTTATCATATTAGAATCGTAACAAAGACCTCGATTTTATGATTTATGTCAAATATATGACCTCAAATTTTATTCTGGCCATTGCCAAAGACCTCAATCACTACGCGATTTCGGTCTTTTAACAATGAACAGAATCAAATTTTCAGTCATATATCACGCCATAAATCATAAAATCTCGGTCTTTATTCCTTAATTATATTACTAACAAACAAAAATGACAAGCCAAGTCATAGGTCAATGGTTAAAGTACCCTAGAACAACAGCCGAGGGAAGGTTTTTGCTGATTACTGTAATGTTATGGAAAGCAACAGTAACCATTTCACTATCGTAGTATTATATGCACACTAAAGTCAATTAAATATACCTTCCAGCATGTCAATAGCATCACTTAATGACGTCATAAATTGACAGAACTTATAGAAAATATATCCAAATTGTAGGAAAAAAACTAATTCAAAGAAATGTGGCAGTCTTCACTCCAGGACAGGCTATTAAATGTGCATTCCCTTAATGCCATAAATTGAAGGAACTTATTTAAGAAAATTGTAGGAATAAAAAGCTTTGTACATATAAATATGGCAGTCTTCACTTGAAGATATTATTCTAGGAGAGATTATAAAAGTACACCTTCCAGCAGTGTCACTAGCTACATTAAATGATGTCATAAATTGACGGAAATTAAAAAATGATGTAAATTGTAGGAAAACCCTAGTTCAAAGAAATATGGCAGTCTTTACTGAAAGATATTATTATCGGAGAGATTATAAAAGTACACCTTCCAGCAATGTCACTAGCTTCACTAAATGATGTCAAAAATTGACAGAACTTAAGAAATGATTTAAATTGTAGGAAAAACCTAGTTCCAAGAAATATGGCAGTCTTTACTGGAAGATATTATTATAGGAGAGATTATAAAAGTACATCTTCCAGCAATGTCACTAGCTTCACTTAATGATGTCAAAAATTGATGGAAAAACCTTGTTCAAAGAAATATGGAAGTCTTTACTGGAAGATATTATTCTAGAAGAGGTTATAAAAATACACCTTCCAGCAATGTCACTGGCTTCACTTAATGATGTCAAAAATTGAGGGAACTTAAAAAATGATATAAATTGTCGGAAAACCCTAGTTCAAAGAATTA